GTCATGAGCATCTATCAATATACTACAAGTCTAAAGCATCTACAAAGCTATTACAGAATCACTAACAAGAGAAAGGAAATAAGATAAGGAGGGAGAATCACGAGACTGCGGATGCCAAGCAGCTACCGTGTGAACTCTAAAGTCTACCGGGAGCTCTCAACTCTTGCTAGCAGGATCAGCAACACCTGAATCTACACACAGGGTGCATGGAGTAAAGTGAGTACTCCAACTCAGTGAGTAATAATCATAAATAAAGACTAAAAGGAAGAAATCATGTAAGGCACATTACAGGCTATAATGAAGCAGTAAAAAAGCCAGTAAAATAGTGAATCAGTAAAGATATGTAAAATCACTTCAGTTCAGTTGAAACTTCATAAAAGGACTAACAATTAAGCAGGTAAATGACAGGCAATAAGGAAGATAAGCACATAAAAGTTCGCCCCTCGGTCATAATGTCAACAAATCCACCCCTCGGGCAATATCTCAGAATAATACCAGCCCCTCGGGCTATATCTCACATCACAATAGGTACCCGCGCTCACTAGGGGTGTGCAGACTCCTGGAGGGGCCCCTTACGGCCCAAGCACAATATCAAGTCATCTCGTGGCATCATCACTAGGCCCTCGACCTCATATTAACAAGCCACCTCGTGGCGTACAAATCTCATACCCTCGGCCTCATAATCATAATCAGTGTTTCTTCACAACATAGGCCCTCGGCCTTACTCAGTCAGAATTTCACAAGCCACTCGGGCAACAGTAAAACATGATGCTCAACCCAGAATATTATTCAAAATATCATTTAAGTGTTAAAATAGAGTAAACATGGCTGAGTTATGAAAACAGTAGAATATAGCATGACTGAGTTCAAGTATAAAGTCAAACAGTGAGGAGATATCAATAAAAATCCCCTAAGGGTTCAAATAGTTGGCACGAGGCCCAAATATGGCATTCAACCCAAAACATGTTGATAGCAAATAGTTTTCAGTCAAATACGCGGTAAAATAGTCATTCGGGATGGACTAAGTCACAATCCCCAATAGTGCACGACCTCACGCTCATCATCTAGCGTGTGTGTCACCTTAATATAGCACAACGATGTGCAATCTGGGGTTTCATACCCTCAGGATATCATTTACAATCATTACTCACCTTAATACGGTCCAAACTCTAGCCTGCGACACCTTTGTCGCTCGAATCGGCCTCCACTCATGACGAATCTATCCAAAATCAGAATCACGACGTCAAAATATGCTAAGAAAATGAAGCCAGAGCGAAAATAATCAATTTATAGCATAAATCCCGAAATTACCAAAACTTGACCCCCGGGCCCACATCTCGGAATTTGATGAAATTCATATCAATAGATTCCTTATCTCCCCACGAGTTCATACATATCAAAAGTACCACAATCCGATCACAAATGGTCCCTCAAATCCCCAAGTCTAGGTCTCAAATACCAAGCCTAGTTTTCCCAATTTTAACCCTTAAATTCCATTAATTACAGCTTTAATCAATGAAATAATACCATAGGAATGAGTTTTAGGTCCAAAATCCTTATCTCAATGAAATCCCCTTGAAATCCTTCTTCAAATCGCCCAAAAAGCTCCAAAAGCCGACTTAGAAATGGTGGAATAGCTAAAAAATCGCAAAGGAATGAATTTATATGTTCTGGCCCAGGGAGTTCGCAGCTGCGGCCAAATTCCCGCTTCTGCGGTACCGCATTTACGGTCCTTGAACCGCATTTGCAGTCCTCACTGAAGTCGCCCAACTCCGCATCTGCGATGCCTAGCCCGCACCTACCCATCGCAGGTGCGGTTCTTCTACCGCTTCTGTAGTTCCTGCCAACTTCACTAGTTTCCGCTTCTGCGACTCTTTTCCGCATCTGCGGGGGTCGCACATGCAGCCTCCCAACCGCAAATGCGGTTATGACAGTAGATTTCCAACTTCAACTGCTATTCAAACTTCCATTCCTTCTGTCAACCATCCGAAATCACCTCGAGGCCCCCGGGACCTCAACCAAAAACACAAACATATCCCATAACCTCATTCAAACTTATACCAATCTTCAAAACACCTCAAACAACATCGAAACAACCAAAACACATCGTATTCAAGCCTAAGTTTACAAAATCTTCCGAATTCCGCTTTTGATCAAAAACCCAACCAAACCACGTCCAAATGACCTGAAATTTTGCACATACATCCCAAATGACACAACGGAACTACCGCAAATCTCAGAATTCCATTCTGACCCCTATATCAAAATCTCACATATCAACCGAAAGCCGCCAAAAATCCATTTTCGCCAATTCAAGCCTAAATCTACTCCGGACCTCCAAAACACATTCTGATCACGCTCCTAAGTCCCAAATCACCTTCCGAAGCTATCCGAACCATCATAATTCACATTCGATCCCTTGAACATATAAGTCAACATCTGCTGACTTTTCCAACTTAAGCTTCCTCAAAAGAGACTAAGTATCTCAAGCCTTACCAAATCCTTTCCGAACCCGAGCCAACCAACCCGATCATATATAGAACCGATACACAAATCAATAAGAAGCAGAAATGGGGAAAACAGGGTGGTAACTCATGAGCCGACTGGCCGGGTCGTCACAGGATATTGTTACTATGTGTATGAGTAGCTAAATTCCTAATCTAGGGTTTGATGGAACCTATTGAAGGATGATTTTTCCATTGCGTTTAGTATAAATTTGCCATTTACTTTTCTCTACTTGTTCAACTATATTATTATTGTTGTTGGTTGAAGGGCCCTCAATTGACTGTGCCTATTTAGTGTGTACTGCTCGAGAGAGAGTACACATTTAGGTAGTTGTTGAACAACACCACTCCTAACATATTTGAGATATCAATACGGAGGGTTTAAAGGCGGGATTAGAGATAACGAAACCTTGGTGCGATCATAGTGAGCGATAAATTAGTGCCAGCTAGCGTAGTTCCAAAGAATACATCTAGTAAATTGTAGTAGTTGCGCGAGAGAGAGCTACGACACTCAGAGTACTCACGATCGATAGAGAATATTTAGCCAAAATTATAGAAAATATAGCGGGGAGAATTCGAACAATAGGGGAAATAAAAACCCTATACCTTTCCAATACTTGTCTACAACTTGTTCGTAGTTAGTTATTAATTACTGCATTTTTCATTACGTGATATTTAGTTAGTAAATATCCAATTTGTTATTTAAATATTTCTGAAGATTGAATGTGAATTTATGCGAGTCTATTAGCTGTGCTTATTAGGTTAATTCCCTATGGGATTCAACTCCGGGCTTGTTGACCGGAATATATTTCCAACAACCGCTTAGTCCTTTTTATAAAGCATAGTTGGGTGTGATCAAATTTTAGCACTGTTGCCGGGGAATTAATGGTGTTATTAATTGCAGCTAAAAGAAGTGCTAGAATTCTTAGTGTAGTCAATTTTCTTCATTTTAAACTAAATACATTGAAATTCTAACGTTTGTAGTCTTGGGTGTTACAGGTTCATGCCTAGAAACTCCTCAAGAACTGGTGAATTGTTCGAAGCATTATCAGTTCCTGAGAAAGTTTTCAAGGCACTGAATCGTGCAAACAAGAAGGGCAAACAGCAACAGAACTCAACAGAACAAAGTGAACCAGACATGGATGACGGAGTAGAAAATCCAAACAACAGAAACAATGTGAATGACCCAAATAATCAGGGTGTGGTGCCTCGTGTTCCAAAAGCAGTCTTGTATGATTGGGCACAACCCACCTCCAAAAATCTGGCAACTGCAATTGCAGTCCCTTTGATAAAAGTGGAATCATTTCAAATCACAAACAACATGCTACAGTTATTGCAGCACAAGGGATTGTTCTCAGGATCTTACATTGAAGACCCTCAGCAGCATCTGAAAAATTTCTTATCGATATGTGTCATGCAAAGGAAACCAAATGTGACACCGAAAGCAATAAGGCTGTTGTTTCCATTCTCGGTGATGGGCGAGGCTCAGACTTGGCTCAATTCACTCCCCATAAACTCCATCACTACTTGGGAAGAATTAGTCAAGCAACTGTTGAACAAGTTCTACCCACCCAATAAGACTGTAAACAAGTTGATGAGATATTGAGCTTCAGACAAAGATCAACAGAAACACTACAAAAAACATGGGAGAAGTTCAAAGGTATGTTGGTCAAGTGTCCACATCATGGCATTCTAGATCAGATGTTGGGGCAGAGGTTCTATATAGGATTGGTAGACAACTTAAAGGCCAATGTTGATGCTTCAGCAGGTGGAGCGTTTTTTAGCAAATCATTCAGAGAATGCAAGATCCTACTTGATAAAATGGCTCAAAACTCAAGATGGATGACAAGAGACTCTACGATCACTTTTGTCGTTCATTTGGTGGATTTGGACCCAAATAACTCATAAGTCAAAAATATAGCCACTATGATGACGCAAATGAGTATCATCACCAAAAAGATTGATGAATCAGGCCAGAAGCAGCAGGTATACATAGTTGATACGACTAATGGGGGATTATGTACATCATGCATTAACCAACCATATGTATGCTCGTGGAGTGCGGAAAGTGACAACCAGAACTATCAGGAAAATATGAACTATGTGGCTAACTTTGGAGGACAGAGGCAAGGTGGTCAAAATTGGGGACAACAGAACCAGCAATATAGACCAGCACAATAGCAGTACAATAATAGCAACAATCCTGGTGCTATGCGACCACAGGGTCAAGTTGTGCCTTATCAAAGGCAACAAGGATACAATCAGCAAAATCAGCAGCCCACTTATCAACAACCTCAACAATAACAGATAGTGCGACAAGATGATGAGTTGTTTGAAATTAAAGGAATGTTGCAACAACTCATTGGGGCCAGTGGGAAAATGGAAGAAAAGGTCCACCAAATGCAAGCAAAAGGTAGTATCGCATGACTCAGCTATCAAAGGCATTGAGATTCAACTAGGGCAGTTATCAATGGCTTTGAATTATTATCCCCAAGAATGTTGCCTGCACACACTCATGTCAATCCAAAAGAGCAGGGCCCGAAAAAGCTTATGGCAGTGAGTCTAAGAAATGGTAGAGACCTAGATCTAGAGCAAGAAATTGCTCGCGAAAGTCGACCAACTGAAACACTTATGCCAGTGCCCATTGAGGTAGATGATGCAACAAAGTTAACTGAGGTGATGATACAATATGCACAAGAGAGCAGAAGCAAAGAAAAAGAGGTTGTAAAGGAAACTGAGGTAGTGCAAGAAACGATAGTAGAAGCAGTGCTCGAGCAGGATAAAACTCAAATCATAAGAAGGAAGTGACCTCCAACACCCTTCCCACAGAGATTGGCCAAATATCAGAAGGATGAGCAGTATAAGAAATTCATGGAGATGTTGAAGCAAATCCAGGTGAACATTCCATTGATTGACGCCTTGAAGGAGATGTCTGGTTATGAAAAAATGATGAAGGACTTGATGTCTCGAAAGTTTGAATTTCAAACTTGGCCCACTGTTACACTAGCTAAGACATGTAGTGCTGTCGTGATGAGACCCATAGCTGAGAAGTTGTCTGACCCAGGGAGTTTTACAATCCCATACAAAATAGGTAACTATGATTTTACTAAAGCACTATATGATTTGGGGGCGAGCATAAACTTTATGCCCCTGGCTATCTATAAAAGGTTAGGCATTGGAAGAGCAAGACCCACATCCATGTTACTATAGGTAGCCGACCGGACGGTGAAGAGGCCATCAGGTATACTTGATGATGTACTGGTGCAAGTTGGAAAGTTTGTGTTTTCGGTAGATTTTGTCATTCTGGACTGCCAAGTGGATGAGGAAATTCCCATAATTTTGGGGAGGCCATTCTTGGCCACTGAGAGAGCTCTAATTGATTATGAAACTGGAGAGCTAAAAATGAGACTGAACGATGAATAAATAACATTCAATGTGCAGAAGTCTATGCGGCGACCAAGTGGATTTGCTAACTGCTCTTTGATAGAAGCTGTGGGTTTGATTTTGGAGGAGAAAGATGAGGCTCTTAACGCAAAAGACCCTCTAGCAGCCTGCCTCATGAACTTAGAAGAGGTAGATGGTGAGGATTTAGTGGAGTGGGTATTGGCCCTTGAAGGTCAAGGGTACTGGAAAAGAGAGCTTGAATTTGAGCCTTTACACTTAGAAGAAAGAAGGATCCCTTCAACTAAGCCATCAATTGAAGAGCCACCATAGTTGGAGCTAAAACCGCTCCCGTCTCACCTCAGGTATGCTTTCTTGGGACCTAACTCAACTTTACATGTTATTATCTCATCCAGTTTGTTAGATGTGCAGGTAGAACAGTTTTTGCAGGTGTTGATGAAGTGCAAGACGACAATTGGTTGGACTATTGCAGATACTAAGGGTATCAGCCCTGCATTTTATATGCATAAGATTTTACAGAAAGATGGGCAAAAACCTTTTAGAGAATATCAACGAAGGCTAAACCCCAAAATGAAAGAAGTGGTGAAGAAAGAGGTGATCAAGTGGTTAGATGCGGGAATCATCTTCCCCGTCTCTAACAGTAACTGGGTCAGCCTAGTTCAGTGTCTACAAAAGAAGGGTGGAATGATTATAGTGCAAAATGAAAATAACGAGTTGATATCAACAAGAACAGTCACAGGTTGGCAAATCTGTATGGATTACATAAGGTTAAACAAGGCTACCTGGAAGACTATTTCCCACTGCCATTCATTGATCAAATGCTAGATAGATTGGTAGGGAGGTCCCACTTCTACTTTTTAGATGGATACTCGGGTATAATCAGATTTTTATTACCCCGGAGGATAGAGAGAAAACATCGCTCACCTGTCCTTATGGCATCTATGCCTTTCGGAGAATGTTGTTTGGCCTATGCAATGCACCCGCCACATTCCAAAGGCGCATGATAGCCATCTTTACAGATATGGTAAAGGAAATAATGGAGGTCTTCATGGATGACTTCTCAGTGGTGGGGAACTTATTCGATAATTGCCTTATGAACTTGAGAAGAGTATTGAAGAGGTATATGGAGACTAATCTGGTATTGAGTTGGGAGAAGTGCCAATTCATGGTACAGGAAGGTATAGTCTTGGGGCACCTAGTGTCGAGTAAAGGAATTGAAGTGGATCGCGTAAAGGTTGATGTGATAGAGAAGTTACCCCCACCCACTTCCGTCAAGGCAATAAGAAGTTTCCTAGGACCGCGGTTTCTATAGAAGATTTATAAAATATTTTTCCAAAATTGCTAACCCCTTGTGTAAATTGCTTGAAAACGATCACCCTTTTGTGTTTTCTGATGACTGCAGGGTAGCTTTTGAGGAGTTGAAGAAGAGGCTAGAGTCTGCACTTATCATAGTTGCACCCGACTGGGAGCAACCATTTGAGCTGATGTGTGATGCAAGCGACTATGCTATGGGAGCAGTTCTTGGGCAGCAAAAAGATAAATTAATGCATCCAATCTACTACGCAAATAGAACATTGAGTGGTGCCCAACTAAATTACACAGTGACCGAGAAAAAGATACTAGTAGTGGTGTTCGCATTTGACAAATTCAGGTCATACCTGATAGGCTCGAAGGTAATTGTTTATACTGACCATGCTTCTCTCAGGTACCTAATTGAGAAAAAAGAGTCAAAGCCACGCTTGATTCGATGGGTGCTACTGCTGCAAGAATTTGACTTAGAAATCCGTGACCGAAAGGGAACGGAGAACCAAGTGGCTGATCACTTGTCTAGGCTAGAAGGAGCAGAGAAAAAGGTTGAGGTGGAAGAGATTGTGGAGTCTTTCCTGGATGAACAATTGTTGGCCACAAGCCTTGAGGTAGCGCCATGGTATGCAAACATCGCAAACTACTTGGCGAGCGGTATTGTCCCCTATGACCTTTCTTCTGTCCAAAAGAAAAAGTTCTTTCATGACTGTCACATGTATTATTGGGATGGGCCTTATCTGTTCAGGATTTGTCTTGATAACATGATCCGGAGATGCATTCCGAGATACATCAATCTTCTATTTTGCAGTCATGTCATGCTTCACTGTATGGAGGACATTTTAGAGGTGTAAGGATAACGGCTAAAGTGTTGGAGTCGGGTTTTTATTGGCCGACGTTGTTTAAAGATGCACACTTTTGGGTGAAAAATTGTGATGAGTGCCAACGGACGGGGAATATTTACCGTCGACATGAGATGCCATGAACCCAATTTAAGAGGTAGAAATATTTGATGTATGGGGAATTAACTTTATGGGACCATTTGTTAGCTCATGTAATAACAAGTACATACTTGTAGCGATGGACTATGTATTGAAATGGGTAGAAGCCGTGGTACCTCCAACAAATGATGCAAAGGCAGCTATTGGTTTCCTGAGAAAGAACATTTTCACCCGATTTGGCATGCCAAGAGCTATCATTAGTGATGGGGGCACCCACTTCTGCAACCGATCCTTTGCAAAGCTGTTGGAGAAATATGGCATTCGCCATAATGTTGCTACTCTGTATCACCCACAAATGAGTGGGCAAGTCGAGGTGTCAAACAGAGAAATCAAGAGTATTTTGACCAAAACGGTAAATGCTACTCGGACTGATTGGGCGACGAAATTAGATGATACGCTATGGGCTTACTGCACTGCATTCAAAACTCTAAGAGGTCATTTGGTAGGATGCATTAGATAAATTAATGTATGCATTAGCTTTGTGTATTAATAATACATTGTTTGGTAGACATTTTGAACCTATGCATTAGTTATACATCCTATTTGGTATTATCCTATGCATAACTAATGCATAGAAAACAATGGTATTAGCAATGCAATGGATTTTAATGCACGCATTAGCTTAGTTAAAGATAAAATTGTCCTTCAAAATTTATGTTTTATTAAAATATACTAGTTAGTATATAATGCAAGTTCAAAATAATCCAAATAGTGAGAAATAAAATTATATCCCTAGTAAATAAATAAATAAATACTTAGCATATTTCCTTTTTATAAATAAATATTTAATTTTGTTTTACAACATAGGTAGACAAATAAAATAATTTTTTTAAAACATTTTCATATAAAAATATTTCTCAACATATGTTTCTTTTAAAAAAGTTAAAGTGTGGACTAGATTTGAGGGCATTTTTGTAAATAAATAATTCTTTTAGAAATTGTGCAATACTTTAATATATCAAACCAAACAATGGATAAGAAATATGTCAGCATAACTAATACCAGCATAACTAATGCAAGCATAACTAATATCAACATTACTAATACACCATATTCAGCATTATTCTTATGCACCCTACCAAACGACCCCTAAATGGTATGTCGCTGTATAAATTGGTTTTTGGAAAGGCATGCCACATACCAGTGGAGTTAGAGCATAAAGCCTTCTGGGCGTTGCGCCAATTAAATCTGGACGTAGAGGCCGCTGGAGCTAGCAGAGTCACAGAGTTGCACGAGCTTGGCGAGTTTCATTACCATGCTTTTGAGAGTACAAGGATATATAAGGGGAGAATGAATATAATGCATGACAAACATATTCTTGAACAAAATTTTAAACTCGGAGACGTGGTATTGCTATACAATTCAAGATTGAAGTTGTTTCGGGGCAAGTTGAAGTCTAGAGGGTCGGGACCATTCATAGTAGTGCAGGTGCTATCAAATGGAGCTGCAGAAATTGAGTCAGAGGATGAGACGAATAGGTTTAGAGTCAATGGGCAAAGGTTGAAACATTACTTGGGCATGGATGAGAAGAAATTGGTATCGGTGACTCATTTGCAATAGCCAAAAATATTGAGTGGGCCTTAAGTTCGATTTCCTGCATCGTGCTGTGACGTTAGATCAGGCGCTTTATGGGAGGAAACCCATTGTAATGTTGTATTCATCATGTCGCGACGTTAACTAAGATGCTCGTTGGGAGGCAACCCAATTCGTAGTTGATTTTTAGTGTAGTTAGAATTTTCCTTCTTGTTTTTAGGAACTAACATGTTTGAAGGCAATTTTGGCATGTCGTACGCTGCATCTCGTGTAGCCTGGTCCCCAGAAAGTTGGGCCAGACGGTAAACCACGTGTCGCCAGATAGAGCTCTCGCGTGGGAGCTCGTCTTGCATGGGTTACAGCGAGATGCAGCTCACATAGAGTCTCGCGTTGCCTGCCTCTGACCTCGTGTAGGAGCACGCCTCGCCAAGTAAGTTTTTTATTTTCTTTTTGTTTTGTTTTCTTCTAACTTACTCCCACCAAAACCTCACATAAACACACATGCCTAACATAAAATACCTACCCGTAATTCCCTCATCTCACAAAACACTCTCTCCTCAACTTGCAAACCATACTACTGCCCGCTCCCCTTTTAATTCCCCCTCCCCCTCACAACCCATTGAAGATAAGCAATCTTCTGCTATTTCCTTCAACAACAATTCAAGACAACAAATCCATTGAAGATAGCAAATCCCTTCTCGTAAACATCTAAGGTATGGTTTCTATCTCCATTCTTTGGCGATTTTGAGTTGGGTAAATGCATGACATTGGACACAAATTTTGGGGTTGTTATTCATTGTAACAATGTGTTTGTGTGTCCCAAACTCATAAAACCCATAGGAATGGTGTTGCTATTGTGTGAACAAGTGGTAGTACGAAATTCCCAAGTCGATTTGGGAGGGTGAGGCATCCCTCACCCCTATAAGCACTCCCATGGTACTAGTGCATGCTAAGTGTTTGTTATAATGCCTCATAGGCATTCTTTGTCCCCAATTGAGCCCGAGTCTCCAAGATTCTAAGTCTAGTGTTATGTAGTTGTACACCACTTTAAAGTCTTAAGTGTGGGTGGCTTACTGGTAGCCCGATGCTTCGAAATTGGAGGAAGCATCCATGTGTCATTGCTTGGTTCTCATACTAATAAATGATGAGGTGAAGTCTAAGTAACCTCGAAAATTGTTGATAATC